GCGTGTAACGTATTCATTTATTTATACAATAGAGACTATGGTTAAAATAATTTTATGCAATTTTTCTACCACACAATTGGTACAACAAAATTGAATATAGGTTTCTCACAATAAATTTGTATAAAAATCTCATTTTTTGGCCAATTTTCCAAACTACTCTACATAATCGAAAAAATTATCATAAACGTGTCAACTGACAATGAGTAATTTATTCTTAGATGCAAATTTTTCGACTTGTCACAAGACATTTACGCACAGAGTATCATTAATTAAAATTACAAATAAAATGTTAACGTACTATTTATCGAATTGCGATTTAATTATACATTTGGTTAGCAAAACCTTTAACACGCCTTGAGCAAAATTTGGTAATTCAAAATTTGTTTACGTTTAGTTGTCATTGTTCTCGGTAAAAAAATTCGGCGTGTGCGAATTGTTTGCGTAATATTTACATAATCAGAATTTAAGGTCATCGTAGTAATATATTGTAAAGGAAAGCTTTCATAAATCATTCATCTAATTGTGAAAAAAAATTGATCATTTTTGAAACATTTTTGAACTTACAAAATATTTGAACATATAAATAATGTATTTTTTTTATTTTTTAGGTGGATTGAAAAATTTTTGAACTTACAAAATATTTGAACATATAACTAATGTATATTTTTTATTTTTTAGGTGGATATTCATGTACCCACCTATGCTCCACCACGCAATGGAAAGCAAGCACGTAATATTCAACACCTCCCCGAAATTCCGCCTAGAGACACAGAGGCCGAAAAGCAGCAAGAAATTGAACGCCTCAGGCCTTTATGCTGTGCTTTTAAGCGCCTAGACACCTGTGCATTTAACGTAATGCGTTATCAATGTGGCACAGGAACAGCAAATTTTGTTTCGGATTTTCTTCACGGAATGTCAGCAAATGCAATGAGAATGCATTGCGCGCTTTTCGCCGAAGAAAACTCAACCGAATCATGTGGCGAGGACGTCGACGAGCCCGTGCTCTTAGAAGTAAAATCTAGGGAAAATTCAGCGAGAGGAGAAAATTCTATGCAAAATATAGTTTTAGCGTTATTAGGAAGCTTAATACTTCTAAATTTAAGATAAAGGTGTGGACGAAGTGTTTTAGAACTTACTATTAGTAGAAAATTTTAATAGACAAATTTTATGAAGACTTGTTGTGTCCAGTGAAGTAGTTTCGTACGAATATTACATTGTGATAATTATTAATTTTATAAAACTCTGGATCGACATTCTTCGAAACTTTTTCGACGACGGAAGAACATATTTAATCCTGATTAAAGATAAAAAAATCGAATATGGTTTGATAATATTTTTATATATTTATAAAATTTACGGTCATGATAATTTCATGTGACTGTTAATTATAGACTTGAAATTCACTAAAAAGATTTTATACCAAATATTTGACATTTGATAGACTTGACTTAAAATATTTATACTCAGTTTTTATGAAAGTATTGACTGATAATTAGAAGAGCCTATTATCTGATCAATTGTGTCTGTAATTTTTATTTTATCCATCTAAAAAAGCATCATATCCGTATATATCAATCTTGTTCCTTGTAGAGATAAGAATGCTGGTATAAGTAACATACCTCGACGAGTTCAAATAGTTTAATTTTTTGATAAATATTTAAATGCAAAATTTTAATGATTTTATTGGTTGATTTAAATGTTTTCCATTCATATTTAGACAATTGACTATATCAGCCAAAGATATTATGGTCGATGTAAAATATATAACCCGCCAATGATTTTGTATGTATACAAATGTGCTTATATGCTGATATATATATATATATATATATATATATATATATATATTTAATTGAACTGTTTTATATACCATTCCTGACATAGTAAAGAATTGCCTGCTTAATAACATGAACAAATAATTATTGTTCAAGACTGATTGATTACAATGTAATTCATTTAGTTTATATTAGTTTAATTTGCTTTTGTATTATTTCTTAGTGTATTTCGATTTAAGAAACTGATATTCAGTGATTGACATAGATAGTAGTTGTAATATGTCTATTTTATAAAATGGTGATAAGCGTAATATATCAAAACTATTAATATAATTTTTTTGACTAATTAAGAACGATAGTTTTCTCTTAATATGTTGCTTGTAAAGACATTTATAATTTTGTTTATTGAATTTTATTTGTTATTATCTTGTAGTATATGTTATATAGTTATAGTAATGAATGCCATCATTATTTAATACCATAAAATAGAATAAATAAAATCACATTGAAAGTCACACTTAATTCTAGACTAATTTTATTCTAAGCATCATTATTTATATTTTCATTATTTATTTCTCACAAATATTGAAAAATTATAAAATAGACATATTAATTAAGTAGATAAAATTTGTTCAGTATCCTGTTTTTATGTGATATTAGTGTTTATATCCTGGTTTATCATACTCTTACATGACTTGGATTTTAATTTAATATTATGTCTATAAGAATATATGTATTTGCTTTAACTTTTAACATGTTGTTTATGCAATATACAATGAAATAATAAAATGAAAAGATATAATTGATTTTTTATTTATCAACTAGCTGATCCGGCGAACGTTATTTTACTATATAATATATTGTTAAAAAAAATCTAGAGAAACCAAAAAAATTACTAATTTATTGAGAAGAGTGAGTGTGAAGGAATTCTTTCAAAATTGTAGGACATTTGTCAAGCCTTCAAAATATAAACAAAATGAATCATTATATTGCGACTTTCAACCCTTTTAATAATGTTTTTGGATATAAATAAAACTATTTACTACATTTAAATGTTATTCATTCAAAACATTCTATTAAATTAATTGAACACAATCTGTCAAAACCATTTGACATTTGACGTATGAACCGCAGTCGATTGTTTCATTTTAAATTACGCCTTTACAGAAAATTTTGAATTAAAAACGTAAAGTTTCTACGCGGTTTTGAAATAATTTCTCATCTTTCCCACAATCTATGCAAAAACACGAATATTTTAAGACTAACACTGGCCAAGTTCATTCAGCCGTTTTAGAGCCTTAGCATACATAACATAATATATAAGGATAAGAAATTATTGAAGAAATATTTTTGAAAAATGTTTATGAGTGCAGTTTCTTAGTGCATTTTTACAATGTGTAAAATCTGTATTAAAATATATAAAATTTTAATTCTGAAGAAATAAACAGGTGTTATATGCGTTTTATGTGAATAATATAGTATTAACTTACGCCTGATCTAAAAAGTTCTAGTTTATCTCAAGAGAAAAATATATTACTTATATAACAAAAAATTCTAAATAACCACAACGATCATAAAAAATTGAAAAAATATATTTATGAAAAATATCAGCATCAGTATCTATATGTGTTGTTGATTAATTTTAGTAATTAATTGGTTCCTATAGAAAAAAAACACTCAAGTTCATCTTTTTTTTAGCCGTTCACGTACAATCGTGCAACTCTGAAAACATATAGGGGCTAATTCTTTCTTTATATAAAATGATAGTAAATACATACTGTCAAAATGCTATGTATTATCGGTGCGATCAGTCCTTTTACACATAAAACTTAACTTCACGGATGTGTCATAAATGCACATCAGAAAGATGCAGTTATGAAAACATTCTTCATGCGTTTTCTAGATTTGGTTTCATATCTAAAACGCCTGACTGCGTGGCAAATACATAGCACTTTAGCGGTTTTTATTCCCATTTTATTCAATCATTTTAATTATTTTAAATATTAAAATTGATTTGGTTTATTGCTTCCTTCGCCTTATTTTATGAACAACTTACTCAATGAGTTTAAAGTCCTTCCTTTGTATTAAGCATTGTATTTAATATGTGATTTGAATAGATACTATTATTTTCATTAATATATTTAATTTTTATTAAATTTATTTCATTATTATATTAATACCTAGTCTTCAGATGGCAATGACTAAAACATTTAGTTGACTGTTAATAAAATTTAACGTGAAGAGCCAGTTAATAATAATTTTATGGATATATATTGCAAAAATTTAATATAAGGTGGCGTCTATTAATCATGTGAGGCTTTTGGGGAAAGGGGGGTTTGACAAAAAAACACGGTATGTCACGTGGGGGAGAGACTTTTTACATGAATTTATAAAAAAATCCAAACATTTAAAAAAAAATCAAAAATTTTTACGATTTTTTCTTCTAACTAAAAATACACGTGATGTTGGGTGGGGGAGGGGACTTAATTTCAAATATTACCACGTACCACCAAGGGTGGAGGGGGTTCAATAATCTCTAAAAAAAAAAATCGGTCACGTGATTAATGGACGCACCCTAATAGTATTATTTCGTAGTATATTTTTCTAAGTTACCTGTGTATATTTGCTTTATGGTAATGTAGTTATTTCATATTGTAATAAAAACAAATATCAAATAATTGTAAATTTTGTAATATGAGGGTTGGAAACATATTGAGAAAAGCGATTCTTTGGATTACTTGATGGGATTTAATGCATTTTTTTTGCTAGTTTTTAAGAGAATATTATTATCAATTATTATTATTTAATTATTTATTTATTTAAATTAATTTTAAATTAATTTAATTAATTAAATTTATTGTCTATTATGAATCTAATCAAAGAAAAGTATCATAAATCATAAAGTATTGTAAAAGTATTCTTTCATTAAAGAAGGGCATTCTTCATTTATTTCATTCATATATATGCATTTATTCCTAGTTTTTGTTTCTATATTTATACCGTTTCTATAGTATATCGTGTACTTATTTTTGTAACCAATTGTAAGAAATATTTAGTCATTTTTGTTTTGGATACTATTTTCCCATATAAATACTACTTTTATATGATAGTTTCATATTTGTTTGACGAATCAAATATTTACCAACGACTGCATTGTGTTCGAAATTATTGCTTATTACTATATTCTATCGTCAATATATTAAATACAATATTTTATTCTTCCAGGTTTTACCAAACGGCGATTTAGTCTTCCCGCCATTCCGGGCCGAAGATTACAGACAAGAACTCCACGCGCAGGTGTACGCCTGCTTAGCACGCAGTACGTCAGGCGTTGTCACTTCCAGAGACGTCAACGTTCGAGCAGGTAGATTCATTTGGGGATGTTTATTTTGAATTATGCCAATAAAAGACGAAATATTTTATCTATGATCTAAGAAAATTAATGCAAAATTCAATTACTCAAAATATAGCTCGATTTTATTTTAGGTTTTGAATTGGAAAGATGAGAAGAATCATTCTTCACTTCTTTCTTTCATATTCCATAAAAGTGAATAAAATATATACAAAAGAGAATTAAAATGACATAGAGACTTTATTTTATGTCATTATTTTTAAATATTTTACAAAATTGCCTAAATTTGCTCAAAACTCATTCGCAGACTGCAAAAATGTAGAATAAATTATACACTACATTCGCGATATGCAGAATTCATATCGCGAGTGGGAAGGGTTAATTCCACAGGTCCAGAAAGTTTTTTTTACTGTGCGGTATATGCTTTCCAATGTAGTTTTCACTGCTGAAAACGAATTTAATGTCAAAATTGGAGATCAATAATGAATTAAAAATTAAGAAATACGACAAAGTCTCCGATCTAGTATGTATGAATAGTCATTCTTCTGCATGATACTTAAAACATCATAATTTCTGTCGTTTTTTGACCTTTATTACTTTATATGACTATTGAATATTCACTCAAATGATCGATTGAGTTTTTTTATATAATTCAGCTGTAATTTGCAAACATACTCACTTTCAATTGCCCCTAGGTAATCTGCAACCATGTTGGTAAAAACATAAAAATAAAAAAAGTTGACAAAATGTCCGATCTAATAATTCTTTTGCATGAGATTTAAAATCATAATATTTGTGTCATTTTTTGGCTTTTTTTATTTTAAATGACTATTGAGTATTATCTTGAAAGGTCTATTGAGTGTTTTTTATAAAATTAATTTTTTATATAAGTAATTTGAATATTTACATATTTACTCCTCATTGCTTCAGGATAATCTGCAACCATGTTGGCAATTGACTATCTGAAAATAGGTTTGCAAATTACATCTAAAGAATCGGAATAAATGATTTAAGTGAAACTCAATAGTCATTTAAGGCAAAAAGGGCTAAAAAACGAAGAAATTATACGATTTTAATTATCGTGCAGAAGAATTACTAGATCGGAGATTTCGTATTTTTTTATTTTCTCAATTTTTTGTAGCTGATCCTCAATTTTACCGTTAATTTCATGTTCAGCAGTGAAATGTACTTTGAAAAACATATGTCGCACACCAAAATACAGGCAACTTTTTTGTGGATCTCTATTATCTTATGATTTCTAAATAAATTTTTAACTTATAAAACTAGTATCTAAAAATTTTTTGAATGCTTTCTTTCTTGTTTAAAAGTATAATTTTAATTAAGCTAATTATATTACTTCAAGTGCCTAAAAAGCCAGATTTAAAATACTATTTTTCTTGTAGAATTGGTTTCACAAATGCGTACGAAATCTTCAATAATATAAATAGATATTTAGATCAGACACCTTTTTGAACGTAATTAGAAAGCATCTAAGATAATAAAATATATTCAAACTTAAACAATGATGTATTGCGCAAGCAATCTACTTTGTGAAGACATTTTTCTCATGCAGTAGTGATATTCATTTTCACTTTGACGCTGGGATAACTCACAACAATGCTTTTAGAGAAGATTTAGCACATATTATAAAAATGATTTTTTTGTCAGAATTCTGGACATTAATCGTATCCTTAGTGAATCTCTTTCAATGTGCAATGGTACATTCACATATAAATACAATTATAGTTGAGGTTTACACTATTTACAATTACTATTTTCATCTGAAATGGGAAACTTTGTAGCTGCAATACAAAGCACTATATGTACTCAATCGGATATAAAGTCGAAAGAAAATTACTTTTTGTATCGAAACTCTTTTTTGCATAAAAACTCGAATTACAAATTAAGGCTTTGTTCTAAATATATCATTTAAATCTTAATTATTCATTGCTCGACATGTATACTACTTCTTTTATTTTCTTGTATAATTAAATACAATCATTTCATATTATCCTCCGTGCAAATAGTTGTGGAATTGAATGATTTGACCCGCTGCCAAGAGTTCAAACAAATTTACATGGGAAAATTTCATTCACAGACAATATGCTATATTGGTGATTAAAATTTTGGGGTTCAACATTCGGCCTTTGGCAAGTGATATATTGATAAAGTATTAATAAAGATGGCACATTAAACTTTAATTATTTTCGGACCACTGCTACTATTACATGGATATAATGATTCTTCAGGTAAAAAGTGCGCAAAGTACGCAATTGTCGATTAATTTTAATGAGTTGTGGTTACATTCAAGTTTTTTAAAGTGGCTGATAATGCAATTTTAACATTGCACCAATTTGCATTAACATAATCTTAGATCATGATAAAAGCGAGTTTTTTTATTGGAATTGATATCCATATAATTTCATAAGTTGAATTGGATTACATAAACATGTTAAATAATTTTCTTATTGTTATTTTTTGCAGTTTATGATAATTATATGTTATTTGATTACAGGTCATATTTTTTAGGTGATTTCAGTGACAGAAACTATATTACATAAAGTTTAGTTATAAGATATTGATATTTTTACCAGTTATTAGATTATGTTAGACTTACAAATTTAGCATTTATTTTATGTATGTTTAAATACATTTATATTGTCTTCGCAGGTATTTTTAACAGTTTCTTAACAAAATATTTTTGCCTCAATATTTACTACAAAATACTATATGAAACCATTAGAACCAGTCACAATGTTTGATGTTACTTAGAATCCTGAATAGTACAATTTTTGTAATCTTTATATTCTATTATATAAAAATAAGTCGGGTTTTCCTTCCTGACGATATAACTCCTGAACGCTTGAACCGATTTTTCGACGATTTTGCATTCGTTGGAAAGGTCTCGGACTCCGTGAGGTTTATAGCAAAGAAAATTGGAGAAAGATTTCAACAGAAAAGCGGAAAACCCTTTTTCTTTTTTTACATACAGAATCATCTCTGATACTTAGCATGTACTACAAACTAATATTTTTTGTTTGCTACTCATTTGTTTGACAGCTACTCATTGTTCTCTGCTCAGTTAATTTCATGTGACAAAATTATGCAAAAAATGTAAAAAAAGTTATTCGTTTCCTAACATTTTAATTGGAAACCATCAAATCAATCACGTGTATTGTGCATATTTTTATTCAATTTTAACAGCAGGCAACTTTTTTCTTCATCTTTTAATCACCAAACGAAATGTTACATAAAATGAAACCATCTGGTGGTGAAACGGAGTTCGCCTGGTGTGCTAGTTTTTTATAATAATTGTTCCAAGTAATTTTATTTCTAACAACAGTTTTCGATATATTATTGCATATAATCGTCCTATTCAAGCTCCTTTTCAAAGAATCTTGTAAAATGCAATGCAACCTTTAAAGTACCCTTATGATATGATCCGATAGATTTACATTCTTCTATATAAGAAATTGAATTTTGTTTGTAAAAATTTCAGAAATTTAGTACTATATGTATTAAAAAAATAAACTAATTATTTTTCAATAGTTGTCTCTCAATTTTATGACACCGACGTAAATAAGGAATATGTCATTCGTGGTAATGCAGCTGTTTTGAAATGCCAAGTTCCTTCTTTTGTTGCTGATTTTATACAGGTAGAATCCTGGATCACTGATACTGGAGAAGAATATCGTATGGGCGCTGATTTTGGTAATTTTTTTAGTTGTAACTGAGGAATTGAACGTTCAGAAGTGTTTATCCTTTGCTCCTCTACGATTTGTTTATTTATATGTTTTCCTAGAAGATGGTTTATAATTTTTTTCCTTACAGCTCAAAACATGGCATGATGAAGATTTAGTTAAAGTAATGTAGTAATTGGATTTAAATAAGCATTTCTAACTTAATTTTTACAGTTGTTTCTCAGTTCTATCAATCTGAAGTCAATAATGAGTATGTAATCAGAGGCAATGCAGCAGTTTTGCGATGTTCCATACCGTCATTTGTTGCTGATTTTGTCAATGTAATTTCTTGGCATGACGAATCTGGGAATGAATACCCTCCAAAAAATGAACAAAACCCTCCAAATTATGGTACTTGAGTACCTAGTACTTGTGATTTTGTATTATTTAATGCATGCATGGATCGAATGAGTGCTATTTGAGATTGAGATTTGAGAAATGGAAGCTTTTTGTTGAGAGAATAGTAGGTACCTAATTGCTTTTTATTAGTTGCCGAATAAATTGTTAATTGATATATTCACGAGTTAATATATAATTTGTCAATTCTTGCAGTAATTGATATGTACAATATATTTTTGATAGAGACAAGCAGCTTCCATATGAATACTTGAGTCATATCCAAGTCCACTAATTTAGTTATTTATATCTCCTTCATGCAGTTTTATTTTATTATATTGGACCAGACTTTAAAAAGGAGATACTTTATCTTTTGCTAAGAATATTTCCGAGGTGTTCCAAAATTCTTACTGTTTTTAATTCTTGACTTAATTTTGAACCATTTGAAGCTACATTTGTTTTATGCTTCTAAGGCAATACTATTGACATATAGAGGTCAATTCACTAGTAAAATAGACCTTAAAATAGCGTTGTCATGGCAACGTTATTGTCTATTTTACCTTCAATGCTTTGGTTATACCAGAATTTTTCTTTATTTCATGCTTGTACTTTCTGTTACCAATTATTTTTAATTCATTGCATCTTATTTTCCAGGCGTATATCATGATGATTAATTCCAGGTGTTTTACGTCGTCGAACTTCCAATTTACTTCTATTATATCATTACCCTTTTATGATTATTTTTAATTATTATTTTCTTCCATAATTAGTTGTTACACAATATTACGATGCCGAAGTTGTGTCAGAGTATGTTATTCGAGGAAACACAGCAGTTTTGAAGTGCAATATACCATCTTTTGTAGCCGATTTTGTTAAGGTTGAAGCCTGGGTTGCCAGTGATGCCACTGAATATTTGCCTGATGCTCCTCTTGGTACCAAATTGATAACTTGATCATTTTTATTTGTTTGGGCTTATCATTAGTATTATCAAAACATGATGTGCTTTTATGATAAATGTGTCGTATGATTACCTATTGATTCCTGAAATTGTCCTTTTCCTTTTTATTACGCTTGGGTATGTCTAAACCATTTACATTCACTTTTAAAGTACCAGTATTAAATTTTATGACGAAATATTATAGTAGATCACCCATAACTTTCTGATACAAACTGTTTTATTTATGCAAAGTACCTACTACTTGAACGATTGCTTCAATTTTACACAATGGTGAAATGTGTTGTTACTACATTGGACAAAATATTTATTTGATATTCGATTTAACATATAATTTTATATTCATTGCGAAAAAGTTTTATCTATTTTCATAAAAAATTATCAGTGTTCTATTTTTAGTATTTGAATTTGTAATTCAAGCAGTAATAATTATGCAGTGAAATAATATTTTATCATTTTGTGTTACTGATTGTAAGCATTTATAATGGATTACATATTTTGTGAAAGAGTTGCTGTACTTTATGCATACGTAGTTATAGAATTTATTAAAACTCTCCTTCGCTAATTCAGATTGGGTTATAATTTAACCCTTGTAGCTGTGGAGTGTATTAAACACTGATTTGTTTGTAAATTATGTATTTGTTGCAGTTCTAATTACAATCACTGATTTGTTACTAAGTTATAATGAAAAAAGATATATATATTTTTATTTGTTATTTACATGTTGTTAAGCGGACTTTACTTTTTGAAGAATGCCCTGAAGTTTGTCACCTTCATGGCCAATATAATAAAACGAAAAGACGTCCGAACAGTTGCCCAATGACATTAACGAAACTTTTAAATAAATTGAATTTATTATAAACTTGATAATTTTCTAATTTAATTTTTATTATTCTAAACAACCCCAAATATTTCAAACATTTCACTGTTGATAATATTATTCATAATTAATGTCAATCAGATTTGGACTTATAAAGCGGTATTTTATCAGAAATTTTATCAAACGGAATTTTTAGTGTATAAATGAAATGGAATCTTTGATTTTATACTAAATTTTAATTTTATACTTTGGTTTTCAATATACTCGTGTTGTTGCAGCAAATAAATCATTCACTTTTCAGGTATATATTGATTATTTTACATACATATAGTGCCCTGGATATCTTGGTGTTCCTCATGTAGAGAATAAGTTGCAAAATCTATAATTTCTACCTAGAATAACTACGTAATTATTATATAACTCAATTATTTTGCAGTCGTTAATCAATTCTACGAAGCTGAAATTTTGACTGAATATGTAATAAGAGGCAACACAGCGGTTTTAAAATGTTCTATACCATCATTTGTCGCTGATTTTGTACGAGTAGAGTCCTGGATAGATGAAGAAGGCCTAGAAATGTTTGCTAGTTCGAATGCTAGTACTGGTTGGTTTTATTATTAAGAAACTGAACTTCTGGTTTCTGGAAATGAATGACTTGATAAATGATTGATATTTCATCCTTGTTGTTCCTATGTCTGCCAACTCCTGTTTCAGGTGGAGAGCTACTATTTGGATATCACCACTTTTACATTTTTGTACTTAAAAACTATAGTGTATTACGGTTTATTATTAATTAAATATTTTATTTCATATAGTGGTCACTCAATATTATGTAACTGAAGCCGAAAATGAGTATGTGATTCGTGGAAATGCTGCAGTAATGAAATGTAAAATTCCATCATTTGTGGCTGATTTTGTTCAAGTGGAAGCTTGGATTTCTGATGATGGAAATGTGTACTCCAATCGTAATATTACAGATTACGGTAAACAAAAAAAAACAAAAAATACGACGTGTAATTTTGGATTTGTGACTCCTTATTCCTTCCTCCACAGATTATATTCACATTGTAACAAAAGTTGTTCTATAAATTAATCCGGATTACCAAAATATTTTTAGGTTGATTTTGGTATTGATTTTCCCAGTATGCATGCATTGTAGTTGTTTCTTAATTCATAAATTTATCAATTTATTTTGGTCAGTGGTCACTCAAAGTTTTGAGGTAGAAGCTGACAACGAATATGTAATCCGAGGAAATTCGGCTGTAATGAGATGTGAGATTCCATCTTATGTTGCTGATTTTGTCCAAGTCGACGGTTGGCAAGACAGTGATGGAAAAACTTGGAAAAGCGGAGAGGAGATTGAAGGTTTTCTAGGAAAACTTTCTAAGGTTGCTAGATTTGTGTGTATGGAAATTGATAGATCCTCTTATATCTGATTTGTCTTTAGTTTTAAAATCTTTTATCAGTAAGTTCCTTGAACATCACTTAAGTTATTGCAATAATTGACATGATTTTAGGTTATTGATCTTTGGTCATTTATAATATTTGTTTTTGAATTTTTTTTCAGATTTTTTGTTTTTCAAACTAACATGAAAATACTTAAAATTTTCAGGAAATGAGTTAAATACTAATATATCTATTTACATGTATTACACTTCTACTAGTTGCTTCTGGTATTCATCAATTATTTCATTTCACTTACAAAGCAGGAAACTTTCAATTTCCGAATCATGCCACAACAAAAGGAATTAATTCTACTTATTGTATCCGACAAAAGGCATTGTATCTTTTTTCACAGTCAATATTTATGAATAATATGTAAATACTTTATATAAGAGCTAATGACATCGATACAACTCAGCCTTTGTTTCAGTAATTATTTAGTTTGACATAGAATTTATCAAATTAATAATGGAAGACTATCACTATTTATTCTTTTTATTACAAATAATTTTTTTTGTATGAACTTTATGATCTCGATAATTTAAAGATGACTATTTTGTAGTATTACTTCCAACTTTTATAAATTTGTGTCTACCAACTGAGGATTTTCAGAAATATATGAAGTTACTTTTCCCAGCTTCGTTATAAGGCAAATATGCGGAAAAGGCCAAAGACAGAAAAATTTATAAAAATGTTTTATCACTCAATTTTTTTATTATAATTTTATAAGTCAATTATATACCAATTATATATCATATAATTATTAACCAAGAATATTAGAATATTACACCATTCTATGAGACTACGAGCTATTTTTTCATGGTGTTAGACAGGTTTTTCTAAGGGGAATATCCTTTCTTTATTTTTTAGTTTTTTATATTAAACTAGATGACCCGACAGACGTTGTCCTGTACCCATGCCTACAATTTTTTAATATAATTTACTAATATTTACCGTTTACCTAAAGATAATAATTATTATTTTTCAAATTACTCTTCACGCCAAAATGCATATACATTTATAATATGAGCGATGTTAAATGTAGAACTGCTTGAAAGAAAATGATGAATCTCAATATTAAAAATTGAAGTTTTTTAAACGGTATAACATAACCATAACCACAACATAACACTGGTACTTTAGGAATAAATTAATTTAGTTTTTTATTATTTAAGATATCCAAAATTGCATCTTAAACTTCTCCTAATTGGTATCTTGAGGGCTGAATTGTATGTATTCATCTTTACTTTCCCATTTGTTGTTATAAAGTTAATTTTTTACGAATTTTAAAAATATTGTGGAAAGATTAGTAAAAGATGAAAAGAAATTATATATTGAAAAAAAAAACTATATTGAAAATTTAATATCCCAGTCTTGTGTTGGCGCCCCTGAGGCGTGCGCTTGTATTGTTCGCATGCATCGCATTAAAGATAGGACCGTGTATCATTAAATCTGCCATACATATACTGCATTTTATATTATTTTAATTTCTGGCACATCTCAGCTGCTTTTTGGCAATAATAATGTAGACATTTCATTTTTCTGTTTATTTTTTAATTTATTATACATATTCTAATATTGTCTTGTCTAGGTTCATAAGTAAATTGAAATTTGTGACAAACAAATTCAAATTTGTTTTCATTTGTTTTCAATGCAAACAATGACATATCGTTTTTTACAATTTTTTCCATTTATTTCTACAATATTGCACATACATCCCAGTACTTTATAATCACATACATCCTAGAAAATTTCCTTAACAAACTTCAGAAAGATTTATCCGAATAATCGTTTAGAAGGAGTATCCAATGAGTGCTTGTAATTTAGTTCGAACTTTATATGATAGAAACAAAGCTCAAATTAATTGTATGTTTTAGTTTGAGAACGTTTGTATGAAAAAAAGAAAAGTGCTGTTTTTAGGGGTTTCCCGGCAATTATTCTATTTTTTCTCGAACGAACATTTTAAAAAAAGAACTGGCCAAATTGATTCAGGCGTTGTTGAGTTATGCGCTCACCAACACATTTTGCGATTTATTTTTATATATAAGAAGATAAGATTTAATATCTACTTTAAATGTAATTGTTTTGTTTCTATACAAGCATTCAAATAGTTATTCATTGTTTACATTTACTAAAATTTCCTTTACTATTAATTGATTTTTAATAAGTTTGTGCACACCAGTTGTGGTCATTGACTTCTTGTTGACCTTTCACTTTGAATTTGTAATAATAAAATTTTACTTCATTTTGTGCAGAACGAAACTTTGTTTGCGTTACTTTATTTCAAATTTCACAAAGAATTAAATGCAATTAGTTTCTCCGAAATAGGATATTATTTAAAAAAAAAACGAAATAGTTGGATGAATAGTTATCATAGGCTCTGTACTCTTAAATTGGCTAAAAGCAAACTGCCTAGGTAAATTTTGAGAGCAAAAACACATTAATTTGCAAATAAAATAATTAATTCTCAGGAGGACTTGAAACAGAGGATGGTGATGGATCATATTCAATCTACCAGTTTTAGCTGCTGAGTTCTTTGACTTGCCAAAATAGAAATTTATATTTAATACTCATCTGGAAATAAGTAATTTCATAATTCCGTAATTAATTATACATTTTCATTTCAGTTGTTCAACAATTCTACTCTAGTCGCGTTATAGACGAATTCGTTTTACGCGGGAACACCGCACTTTTGAAATGCAGTGTTCCATCTTTTGTTGCTGATTTTATTGATGTTGAAGCTTGGGTGGATGACCAGGGAAACGAATATAAACCAAATTCTACCGAAAATGGTTAAAATATTATTTTTGTTATTTAACTCTTTATTTAGTAGAGTGCATGAAAGGAGAATGATATTATCCAGCTTCTTCATCCTGATGTCAAATATTATAAACTCGAATTTTTTGTCATTTATGTCTAGTTTATTTATGGTTTGTAAAGGGCTTAATTTGAATTATTTCTTTCTTATTAGTTGTGAACCAGTACTACGAGTCTCAAGTATATGATTTATTTGTAATCAAGGGCAACGCGGCGGTTTTCAAATGTCATGTACCATCTTTTGTGGCGGACCATGTTGATGTTTCTGACTGGGTTGATAGCAATGGTGGTCAATACATAGATAATGGAACTTATGGTGTGTAGGATGACAATAAAATTATTTTATCGTTGTTACAGATTTAATTAAAAATTTTAAGTGGTGTAGGTTAAGAAGTTTTTCCATGATCCAACTAATACAAATTATATTGATTCCTTCTTATTACTTATTTGGACTTTTCAGGACAATGTTAATTTATGCTGTACTTAATGATACATTGTTAATTTCAGTGGCATCATCATATAATCGAAGCTTATATACATTTGATTAAATTAATTTTATAACATAAATATTTTTATTTTAGTTATTATCCTGAACCCTTATCCATAGATCTGACGGTCTGCCCGATTATCCCTAAAAGTCCTTTCTTCCGAAATGGCATGGAATGAATGATGTAGTTAGCTAGATAGTAAGCTTATTTTATTTTATAAATTATTTTTATTATTATTTGTTATACATATCTGGGTTAGCTTGTTTACATTACTTTAAAAGAAAATAATAATTACTTACTACTAATTACTTTTAAAGAAAATAATAAATAGAATAAATTTCGTTGAAAAATTAAATAATTTTGGCACTTAGTGGTAATAACTTCAAAATGTTAAAACACTAATATCAGAAAAAGTACAAATATTTATTGCTATTGATTACAATACATATTTTTTATCGGTTTTACAACAATAATATAAATTGTCGCAAACAAAATATAAGTTGTATAAGTCTATCAGCAAACAAATTACTTATAAAATAAAAGTAAACTATCAGCAACATTTGATATCTAAAAACTCCTTCAATAAGTTTTTTATTTCCTAAACCAGTAACATTTTTAACCATTTACCAGTTGAATTTGGTTAATTTTTATATTCAAGGCTACAAAAATTTCACATCGTTTTGTGCGTTTAAACAAAATACAATAGATAAGTATTTTGAATTAGCATACCTTGCTCTTCTATGACATCAATTATCAATTACAAAGTCAATTAAAGCTGTTTTGTTTATTTATAAACTTGTAATGATATAACAAATTTTTGTTTTGCACGCATGTATATTGAAATAAAAAAGCTTTAGATTATTGCATGCGTAAAAAGGTTTTTGTACAATAATTATTTAATTTATAGTGTTGCCGAAAAATCATTTGGAATTTTGACTAGAAAAAAACTGTATTCATAGTAGAAGCATTTGAGCACAATATTTTACTAGGTAGAGCCTTTTTAATTCAAACTTTATTAAAAACTTATTCTTTAATGCTGAAGAAATAATTACAAATAAACCGTAAGGTGTCAATTTTTTAATAAATGGCTAAATAAATAATGGAGAGTAAAATGCTTACTAAGTATAAAAACAATAAGTTGCATTATTATATTTTTCAATGGAACTATAACAACTTAAGGTAATTAATAAAATAAAATAAAATAAAATAGTATCAATCAATCAATCTGACGAATTTTACATTATTTTTTGTTTAAAGAACTTTGGTTAGCTTTACCGAAGAAATCAAGAACAAACTCCAAATGATTTTTTGTTTATTATGTCTCAATAAAATTAGTTTTTTTATTTTTCTTTATCATCTAAATTAAGATATCAATTGAAAATGGAATTAGTTTTTTAGAATTTTACTTAAAATATAACGTGATGGTAAGGATGGGGCACTCATAATAAATTATGTCACACTCTTATGTTATTTATCGATATTCCATATTAATAGACTTTTATACTTGTAGAAATATTTACAGTAAATTAGCGATTTCAAAATTAGTTTACATCCATTTAATTAATAAAGCCAACGTCGAACAAAGTATTTAAAAGTATTACAATAAGCGTCTAACTGTTTAATTTGAGACTTGATCATCTTGATTTCTCAGATTTCTTCAAAGTACATCAACTAAAAATTTTGTTCTAATATCAGAATTCTATTTTAAATTTTTTAATTAGCTTTTAACATATATTTAATCAGATTTTTGAAGTTCAAATATATTACATAATTTATAGATGCCTTTCAATTTTTGATCACGATCTATATTTTGTTGAGACATAACAAGCTTTTTAAACGCTAATGATAGTAACTATTTTTTAGTAATCCAAATTAAATTTATGTTAGAAACTAATTCTTTTTTTGACATTTTTAGATGGTAAATATTTAGTATTGCCATCTGGAGAACTGCACATAAGAGATGTTGGTCCTGAGGATGGTTACAAAACGTACCAATGTAGAACTAAACATAGACTTACTGGTGAAACAAGATTAAGTGCAACCAAAGGAAGGCTGGTCATCACTGGTAAGTGGGCTAAATGTCCCAAAGGCATGGTTTAAAAAAATACTCAGTTTTTATTTGAAACTATTTAAACTATTGTGATATGACTACATTTTGACGATTTAGGAATGAAGTGTTTCGAAAATAGTCAATAAACTTGCAAAAAAAAACTTGTAGCATTTTCTAAGGATTGACCAACTGAATTATAATTTTTTTTTTATTATATGTATACCTGTATTTTTTTGTCGTAATTTTCACTGTCACATTGTTAGATTTTCTATGCTAGTTAACCATTTTTTATGTCTTTTAACTTTTCTAAAAATTTATGATTTGAAGTGTTGAAAACTGTTATTTTAACGAATGTCTGTAGATAATAGAGTTAAAGGTCTCAAGAAAATTTTAAAATACTATGGCCCTATAGAAAAGTGGTTTAAATATGAATAAAAATAAGTTAGAAATAATGGGCTATGTTAGAAATAATGGAGAAATTTCAAAATTCTGAAGTTACAATTCTAATTATGGTCAAATTTCAATTCTTATTGATTCAGGCGATTATTTGCTCACACAGGAAAGTTTTTGTTACTTCCCTTACTACAAATGCCACTACACCTAGTCGAATGGTCATCTTGTTCAATTTTCTTTTTAAAAAATAGTTAAAAAGTCGTGATCATGGAACCCATTTGTTGTTATTGTTTTTTTTTACATGATACTTGATTTTTACCTGATTTTTGGTTCCCCAATTCACTTTGCGTTGCTCCAATTTGCTTTCTAATTTTTGGAAAAGATTTGGCTGAACTACCTAAAGTCAGATATGGGTGAAATATTAAGGCAACAACTTAATATTTTTTTAAATGTTTGCAAGTTTTGGAAATATTAAATCACAATAGTTTAAGTAGAAACAAGTACTAAACGAGTTTGGCTTAATGATACTTACAAATAACTAGTGTATACTTAGATTAAGTTTTTAACTTAATTTAAGTATTCTGGTTGAACCTGCAAAATTTTTGAATAAAATAAATTTAATTTAATAAATGGTTATTTATTCATTTGCAAATATAATTTTTAGGTAGTTTAATAAATTATAGAATAACCATTCTTTATTACAGTAAAATGTTTATAATAAAATATTTTTTTATCATAAACATGTAGTGTCACATTAAATTTTTTTTGAGAATTATTTATCAAATTTTGCAGGTATTTAATTTTAACATTATCTACTTTAAAAACAGTGTTAAATGAGTTTAAAATTTGATCTGGAATCATTATTATACAATTACGAAAAAAATTAAATCAACTTCGTGGTTTTATATTGCTTCATAATTATAACTTTACTCAATTACAAAAATTAATGGCTTTATTACATACAAAAACAAGCGACCTAGTGCACATAATAAAAAGTTGACTACATTTCAATTCATCATACTTCAAGTTAAAAACAATTTGCATTTATTAATATTTAAAACATATGTATTATGCTTTAAAATTGAGACGCAAAACGACCTTATATAGAGTAAATCATGTCGATGTCAAGGTTTTGATATACTCATTGTTTATTAAATGGATTAATTATTAATGCCGATAAGTTTACAAATGCAATTGTTTAAGAATAATTATATGGGATTACTAATGAAAACTTTCACAGCTAGGCTGTTTTTTCTTTCGTTCTGATAATATTGGTTTAAGACATAACACATTTAATAAATTATCTGGAAGTTCCAGTTGTTTCATATTTTACCTAATGGGCAAATTGATAATGTGACTGTTATCATAATAATATGAAATAACAGTCTAAGATATTTCATTTTCAACAATTGTTTGCTTAGGTTTTCACTCTAATATTGTAATAGAATTTAATGAACGATAATTTACCATTAAATATATTTCACTAGAATTATTTAGTATATCGTTTTTCATACTAGTATCATTCAGACGTATTTTTTACTTGTATCATCAATAATTATTACTTAATATTTTCATCATTTAGTATTCAAATTTTATCCAGAGAGTTTTATTATTCGTTAGAAAAAAAGGACAAATAAAATTAATATTATCATAATATACCATTTAACACTGTTTATTACTTTTATACAATGAACATACAAAAGAAATAATTGCGTTGTATAAAATATGGTAGATTATTTCGTTAATTACAATTTTGTATTTAGTCATATGTTTAAATGTTGACAAAATTTTAGTTTTATATTACAGTTACATTTTTACAGATTGTTTCAAATTAGTTTTTTATTTAAACATATGACTAATTTTTTTGGGCAATAAAAATATCTGTTTGTTTTTTACTAGTAGTATTTTACAAATAAATCACAAATAAAATTATTTATATATATGATATAACTTTCATATTTTTATTGCTACTATCACACAAATAGTATATCATATGAATATACTTTTTAAATATGTTCAAATATATAATAATATTTAAAATTATTCGTTTGGTAATGAATTTTTTGTTATGTTTACTTATTTTAAACACCAAATATAAAGATTAAAGTCAATATAAAAGATTATCAATGTTAATCTACAATTAGTATAATTAAAATATGTATTTTAAATTTATTTATTATAAATGGAATCGTATTAAGAGTAATACTATAAAAGAAGACAAAAATTATGAATGATGTAGGAAAAAATCTTATTTATTTGGTGCAATATATCAAAGGCATTTAAAATCAGAACACTACATTCAATTATGTTTCTTATAAATTTCTTAAATAAATTTTGCAAGTATTTAATGTATACGATATATCACACTATTGTACAATTAATGCATTTATATTTTTTTCATTTAATCAATATATTATATTCAATCAATCAATCAATATATTTTTTCATTTAATCAATATATTTTCATTTAATCAATATTTTCTGAAATTTCATTTCATTTTCATTAATATAATTTCAATTAATTAATATTCTGATAAAAGTACTTACTACTAAAAATCTCAAGCATATACAAAACTAAAGTCTTCTCTATTGCATATCAGAATCTTTCATCTTAGTTTCCTAGCACAAGTCTAAAATTCTTTTAATGTCGAATATCATATCTCACATAAAAATTAAATGAAAGTAAATATGTAAATTTTTAAAGACAGAATAATATTAAAATATTTATAGTTATTTTAGTAAATGTAATATGATTTTTAATAATATTGTATAAAATTTTTCGAAAGGGCAGTTTGAAAATTTGTCATTTTGATTTGTTATGATCATGAAAATGAATGATGTATTTAAACATGTTAATTAAAGTTTTAATTGAAAAGAAAATATTATTATATAATTTGAACATGTTAGAAAATATTTGTAGATTAGTCATATAACATCAAATGCTTATATCGCACGCTTATTGTACTTGTTTTGTAATGTTTTACCACAGTTCACTGTTTTCTCATTATCATCAAAACACTTCTTTTATGACGAATCATCATATGGAAATAATAATTGATAGAGATAATTATTGTAGAAAAATCATGTTGTAACTATGTCTAATTAATTCGTGTTACTAATTGGGAACTTGCATCAAAATTCAAGAAATTATTTCAATTAAATTATATTTATCTTGATAAAAGCTTAAAATAATATTTATTATTCTTGATAGGTATAAATAAGTAGCTTTAGGAAGTCGTCAAATGGGCTAAAAGAGATAAAAGTCATAAACTTTAATAACTTGCTCGAATACTCTTTTCGAAATAGAGGCTGATAAAGACAAAGACGCAAAGACTCCATAAAGTTCTATTTTTTAATTTGCTATTATTTTGGAGTATTTTTAAATTAATTATTTACAAAGATTATTTCAACAGTATATCGTAACATTAAGGTATTTCAGAATTAGGACAAGATCTGAATTAAGGATAAAAGGGATAGTTATAATACTTCAAATGTCTTCATATACTTACCAACTTAGCACGAATGACTGCCATTTCAAATATAAATACATCATAAAATAAAGACAAGTTTTTCATGCAAGTTCTCCATTAATAGTATTCTAATGAGTATTTAATCAAATGATTTATATTTTGAACTGTACTAAAACATTACTATTAGAATATAAGTGTATGTTTTTTTTTAAACAAATATATTCTGATGACTACAACAAGACCTAAGATCAGAAAATGTTTGTTCGCCACTGCCTGAATGTGGGATAGGGTACCCGGCCGGCACTAAAGCGCGAATTAGTTTTTTTCTAATTATTTTCAATTTTTAAAATAAATAAACTTTAATTTTAAAATAAACAAGATTTTTAAAATAAATCATATTGATTTTTCCCATAATTTCAATTATGTTTCATTGATTGTTTATTATATTGTTGAATGGCATCTTTCGTTTTGATACTATATCATATGGAGGTAACTTTTATATGAGATTAAAATGTTGTACATTACCCTGTTTGAATAAATAAAATCTATTTTTAAATACATACATCCAAAAAGTACTGAGTATAACCAGTATTAATACACCGTTATAATTACCAAAATTATTGAAACAATAAGTTCCTTAAGACATCTATTCTTTCACATTATCGTTCGGATTTTTTTCGTGTAATTTCTTCGATTCTTATATTTTCTCTCAGCTATCATTTTGTGGCAGTCTATTCAAATTTAGTGCGACCGATTTTTTGTCAATACCCAATTTAAAAATGAAAAATATAATTAGAATATCAGTATCTGTACTATATTTTACCCAGAACCTGTTGCAAGTGTGTCACCACGTTTGACTGCTGGTGATACTACCAGAACGGCATCTGTCGGTAAAAGTTTTGGAACCACTTTGCAATGTCCAGCACAAGCTTTTCCCGTGCCTAAATTTAGGTGAGATATAGGGATTTGCTTGATGAGTTAGTTGCTTTTAGTTTATGTATATTTTGCTGGTCTTCTAATATTTTATATTACATACATCATTTCTATAGTTTTTATTTTTGGAAGCCTATAACTTATCTCTACTTTTGGCTTGGCGTTATTAAATTTTTTGGGAGATTTGTTAATTTTGATATCTTTTTGAAAATAGAACCT